ATATTATATATATATATATATATATATATATATCATATTCTTCCATATTATCTAACATACTTTGCAGGAGAAAGAGCATATGAAAATCATAGAAAAGAAGCAAAAAAAAAAGTGGAACTTGAGTAGTCAACTGGGAATGAAGAAGCAAATGGACTAAAGCACCATAGTTGCGACGATAGCAATTGGGAATCATGAAGGAAATCACCATAGCTGCAACTAGAGAACTATAGTTGAAACTATAGCCTTTCTCTGCAAAAGGAAGTCCAATTGATAAGACCATAGTTGCAACTACAATTTCCATAGTTGCAACTACAATTTCATAGTTGCAACTATGGAGAATCTTAAGCCAAAAAAAACTCTATAAATAGAGAGTGCATGTTGGAAAGAAGACATAGAGTCTTGTTGGAAGAAATCACTTTATAGTCTCTCTTTGTCTTTAGAATTTGCTACTAGTTGTCTTTATTTTAGAAGAATAATATTTCTTCATAAGTTCTTTATTCCTAAATTAGTTTTTCTTACTTCGTAATGGAGTAATCTTTTTTTGTTGGGATAGTTGATGAAGCTTGATATATATATATTATAATACTATCTCAGTTTTAGTCATTTTTGGTTTGAAACTTTCTATTTATATTTTATGTTGTGCTATAATAATAGTTTTTTAACTAATCATTGTTATCACTTTTATATATTTTATCTTTAAGTTACTCTCATATTAATTTTGTAATTCTCACGGAGCAAAATTAATATATAGTAACTATTGAATAAAATAGTGAAGTGAGAGCAATTATTAGCAAGCTATTATTAAAAGTCGATAATCTTGCTTGCCTCAGTTTTAATTCTCACGGAGGAATTGTTGTAGGCAAGATTATTGCTTTTTTAGTAAAAATATTCTCACGAAGTTTTTACTACCTCTTAGCACAATTCAAGCAAGAAAAATATTTCGGTCTAATCGTCACTAGTTTTAACTCAATTAATCACATAACCTCACGGAGTGTTATTAATTGGCTACTTCTTAATGAGCTAAATATAATTGTATTAGCAATAAGCAATTATTCCTTAGAGAAATACATGTAAAACTTGAGATTTTATTTTAATATATTATCAAGTGAATTCAACGATTCCCAACTCTTTTAAATTATAAATATTCCGCAAGTTCTTGGTTTTTATTTAAGTAATAACAAGCTTTAAACCTCACTCACTTTCCATCCAATTGATTCTCTCAAATAGTAGTTGAAATATTAAAAGTCTGTAGCATAGATGTTCCAATCTCTATGGGACGANAAGAAGCAAATGGACTAAAGCACCATAGTTGTGACGATAACAAATTGGGAATGGAAATCACATAGTTGCAACTAGAGAACTATAGTTAAAACTACAGAACTATAGTTGAGACTATAGCCCTTCTCTGCAAAAGGAAGAAATTGATAAGGCCATAGTTGCAACTACATTAGGCCAAGAAAACTCTATAAATAGAGAGTGCATGTTGGAAAGAAGAGATAGAGTCTTGTTGGAAGAAATCACTTTATAGTCTCTCTTTGTCTTTAGAATTTGCTACTAGTTGTCTTTATTTTAGAAGAATAATATTTCTTCATAAGTTCTTTATTCCTAAATTAGTTTTTCTTACTTCGTAATGGAGTAATCTTTTTTTGTTGGGATAGTTGATGAAGCTTGATATATATATTATAATACTATCTCAGTTTTAATACATTTTTGGTTTGAAACTTTCTATTTATATTTTATGTTGTGCTATAATAATAGTTTTTAACTAATCATTGTTATCACTTCTATATATTTTATCTTTAAGTTACTCTCATATTAATTTTATAATTCTTACGGAGCAAAATTAATATATAGTAACTATTGAATAAAATAGTGAAGTGAGAGCAATTATTAGTAAGTTATTATTAAAAGTCGATAATCTTGCTTGCCTCAATTTTAATTCTCACGGAGGAATTGTAGTCACAGGATTATTGATTTAGTAAAAATATTCTCACGAAGTTTTTACTATCTTTTAGCACAATTCAGACCAGAAGATATTTCGGTTTAACTGTCACCAGTTTTAACTCAATTAATTACATAACCTCACGGAGTGTTATTAGTTGATTAATTTTTGATGAGATAAGATATAATTGTATTAGCAATAAGCAATTATCCTTTAGAGAAATACATGTATAAAGTGAGATTTTACTATAATATATTATCAAGTGAATTCAACGATTCCCAAATCTTTTAAATTATAAATCTTCCGGAAGTAATTGGTTTTTATTTAAGTAATTAACAAGCTTTAAACCTCACTCACTTTCCATCCAATTGATTCTCTCAAATAGTAGTTGAAATATTAAAAGTCTGTAGCATAGATGTTCCAATCTATGTGGGACGATATCATAAACTATACTAGAATTTGACAAAGCACGAGCAGGAAAATCCTATACACATTGGCCTCGTCAATTCCCAAAATCTTTTGTCCATAGGAGCAACAATCAACATCTTTTCTACCCAAGCACGGAAGACGAGAATTTCTTCAAAGACATCCATGGTTGCTGAGAAAATGGGTTTATGGTTACATGAAGGAATTCAAGACATATAAAAAAAGAAAAAGAGAAGAAAACTGACGTGCAAAGTTCCATTTTCTGGAAAAGGCATGTTTTCCAGAAACATGCCTTTTCTAGAAAATTAACCCACTAGTGGGAGCATAAAAAAAGTGGACGTACCATCCACGGTCCAGGTCATCCTAGGAGCTAACTAATACTCTTTTACTTCTTGCCACGAGGTAAAAGACTCCTTCACGAAACAACTTGGGAGAGTAAAGGTGAAGTAAATGACGAAAGGTAAAAGGGTCGGAGACCAAATCCGACAAATAACGAAGGCATGATACAACCCTCCACACGATGGGGACAATCTGGCCAAGGCACACATTTAGCGACAAAACTCGATGATCACTGGATCAATGAGAGGTTTAAACCCTAAAGTAAAAGGGCAGGTATAAACAAAAGAAAAACCGGCATGGTAAGAGGTGATTCTTTGGTTGGTACCAGGGATTAAAACTGGGAAATCTGCTTTCCAATGACAATCTCGTCAAACTAAGGGAAGAAGACCTACAATGATTAAACTTGAAAAAAGTTCAGCTAGGTTAAGGGAAGCTATAGAAGAGACATGATTTCTCATGGCCTCACGGCCTGTTACAAAAGAAAACTCTTAAGGAACAATCTCAGCAACTGTAGGTTCACACACAGGTTCATTCAGGTCCCTATTTCTAGAAGAAGATCTAGGGGTTAGAAGAGCCCTAGGTCTAGAAGAAGATGGCCTGGCAGAACTACTTTGATAAGAGGAACCACGATTAGATAACGAACCAAGACTACAAAGTCTACCACCTTTACTACTTCTAGTAGGACCAGTAGAAGGAGCAAGTTCGTCAACGATTACAACTTTGCGAGGGTCTGGTGTTGACGAAGACATGTTTAACAAAGGAAATACAGAAGGAAGGTACAGAGATACGAAGAAGGACTAAGGTAATGGATAAAGAAGGAAGAAGGTTTCAAGAAATCAAAAAGAGTGAAGTATTTATAAGGAGATACAACCATCGTTAAAATTGGTCATTATGAAGCGTCATAATGGGACCGTCACTTCGTGACTGGCGCAGCCGCAGAAAAAATCCTAAAAAGCGCTGAGAAACTGCAGATCCAATCGTAAGAAGCCACGTGCTGTGGGCATTAAATAATGTGACATACGTCACATCGATTCTGAAGGAGGCATAATGATACTCAAGAAACGGCAACAAAGAATTCCCGCCATAAAAACTTACCACTTCCCGAATATTCAGAAAGTGGGGGGCACTATCTGTATTGGTGGAAAAAAGACATGACACATGGAAAGTCAACAAGCTAACGTGGCATGACGCATAGAACATCGATGTAAGGACAAGTGACATTCTCAATTAGACGAATTAAGAATGCAGAAAAGGCATGAGAGAAACACCCACGAGGTTACGTTGAGGAAAGAAGCGGACTTGACAGCTGTTAAAGGAGAAACATGAACGATATGAATGAAGGCGAAAAGAAAGGAAGATACACAAACTAGAAGTAATAAGGAAGGGAAATCAGTACAGTTACAAGGAATCTTTAGTCATAAATGCATCAGTTACGGTTACATATGGTAACGGGCAAATCAATACAATTAATATCATTAGAGAGCCCAAATTAAGTGTGGGAACCGTTATAATTGTATGCTCCTATATAAGGACAGAAATTTTATTTGTAATGGCAAGTTACGATTGTTATTGAAATCCACACTATTATTCGTTGCTGTATTCTCCAAGCTTTAAGCCTTAATTTTGGGAAGTGATTATTAGTTCATTTCTTATTTTTCTTTGTCAATCATTTCCATTCTTTGATCTATTCTTCCAAAATTTGGAAGAGTGAAGTAAATATTGGTTATTAGTAACCCCATTTCTTTTTGATATTGATTTTGACCAAGAAATCTACTTTTGGTTAAACGAAAACCTAAAAGGTATGAGAATTGAACCTAAGTTAAAAGTCACAGCAACACAAATTACTTACATGCAATTCACTGTGTATTAGTATTGTATAACTTATCCTCAAATATTTTCGTTATGTTGTTGGAAAATTATAGGTACTCATTATGTTCCTGGGTACTAGTATGTATATTTTTTCATATTCATAACATTTGTTACTTTTATGTTGGCATTCAAAGAAAGTTCTAAAAAATAAAATAAAATTTTGAACTTTGATGGATTGAATCGAAAGAATTCTTTAGACCAAAAAAGAAAGAAAGAATAATAATATTTAAAATAGTTTATAACAGTATTGAGAATAAAATTGATTATTTTCTAGTAGTTAATTTGCTTAAATATCTTGTGTCCTTTTATTTTCAATTTACGTTAGAGATTTTATTTTAGAATATACACCTAAAGATTTAGCTTAGTAGTTAATAAAGTAAATTAAAAAGTTACGAGCTCTTAGATTTAAATTCTATCTAAAGAGCTGAGTGAACCCGTAGTTACAGAAAAAAGTTTGAAGTTCGGACCCTTGGTTAAGCCCAAAACAGTTTTCTCTCACAAAAATCAAAATCAAACCTTTTTCCTAGAAACCAAACAGATCTCAAGACTCCCCACAGCAAATTCGTCAATGGCTTCATCAGGAAAATCGGTGATCCAAACCCTAAAGCGCTTCATGAAGAAGCCATGGGAGTTCACTGGACCACAAACAAGTCCAGAGTATCTATCCGCTGTACCCAAGGCAACGGATTACAGGCTCTTCTGTCCGGCCACAGCTCAAGCTAAGGCCATCGTACCTACTTCCGATCCTGAAACCGTGTTTGACATCAAGTACTTTTCGCGTGACCAGAGACGTAACCGTCCTCCAATTAGGCGTACTTTCCTCAATAAAGCTGATGTTGAGAAGATGATGATGGAGAAGAAGACTTTTGATGTCGATGATTTTCCTCAGCCTTATTTGACTGCTAAGATTGAAGAGGATATGGATGCTATTGGTGGTGGATACCAGAAATGAAGGTAAGGAATCTCGATTTTAGGGTCTCTTTATCTGTTTATTAGTAATTATTGGAAATTGGGCTTGTTAGTTGAATAATCAATCAGCTAATCAATCAATCGTGTATGCCTCAGTAGTAATTTGGCTTTTAAGGCACATTTGGAGTTATTTTAGTCCTCATTGTTGCACATAGATTGTTATTTGAACGTTTGATGAAAATATGTGATGTACTGGGTTTAGCTGGTGTTCTCATATAGGAGGAACTTAGAGCTTCTCTTTAATTGGAATTATTGGCGATTTATCTCATTTGTCTTTAATTGGTGATGTTTTAGTTTGTCTGTGGTAAAGGAGGGGAGACAGGTAATTTGAAGATGTAGGGGTGGGTTTGCTTCACTATGGAGGAAAATGTTACTTTTTCACGGAAAATCATTTTCTAGATAATTTTACAGCATTTGGTTGGGTATGAAAGTAGGTAACATATAGTAATCATACAGGGTCTGGGATATGGAATGAAAATTGCGTTGGTGATATTTTTGAGCTATGTTGCTGGTATCGTCCAAAAGATGCTGCTGCACCCGTGTCAAATCCTCCAAATGCATTACTTTTAGAAGATCCGAAACGCGCCCAGTGACATTATTGGAGGATCCAAGCAGCATATCTTTTTGGTACTAAAGGTTGAAAACCATGTTTAAGTATTGATCAAAATAAGTGATATGGATAAGACGTAGGGGGCAGAGACTATACTTTTTGATGTAAAGCTTCAATCTTTAGATCATTTCCACTGAGGCCTTTTGAAGAGACTCTTTCTTCTGCTTTATCATTTGTCCTCCAAGCATATTTTGGACAATCCGTGTACCCCCTTCATCAATAACGGTAGAAAAAATTGGAATATTTGCAAAGGAAATGAGTTCCATTTAATGAACTAAGCACTTGACGAGATTTTGGCTTTCCCTCCTTTTCCTTGCGGGAAGATGAAATGGGATGTACTGGAAACTTTGAGAGCAGTCTACAAATAGAATGTTTGGGGGAGGGGGGTGTTCAGAGATTTGCCTTTATGGGGCCTAAACTGAAAATGAGATTTAATGCTTAGCTAGGTTTCTGCAGTTTGAGCATAATTTTTGTGGGAAATTCTTTGAGGAGTCTATGGACAAAAGGTACATGACATTGTTGTCAAAGGCGCGCTTAAGCCCTAAAACGAGGCTCAAAACATGTTGAGCGCTTCGCCTCACTTTGTGGGCACTTCAGTATCCCATCAAGGCTCTAAGACATGCTTTTCCTTTCCAATGAGCCTTATCCTGAAAAGGCGACACTGAAAAATTGATATTTCACTTTATCGTAATATTTTTTCATTTTTTTGTCCTATATTTGGTATTCATACTTATAATTATTGGTCTTGGACTACATATACATATTTTTGCTTTTTCTTCATTTCTGTGCTTTTCGCCTTTGATAATACTGGTACATGAATGCATTACAAACCTGCAATTTCAAAAAAGACATGAATTATTTAGAAAATCTCCCAACTTAGAGTAGAACAGAAAGTTTACAGGCCAAATGGTTTTGGTGCGAAATATGCCTAAGTTTACATATTATGTTTCACTATAAGGAGTTTCGTCCTTTACTTACTTAATATCTTGTAGTTGCTGCTTCCATTCCTTGCTGCATTTGCTCTTCTGTAGCTAGTGGTACCATCCCCTCTCCTCCATCCAACCGAACGATGGCTCCTTCCTCGATAACCTTGTCATTGCCCCATTTACTCTGCCCTCCACATGCTACCGTTGCCACATTTTTGGTCTCGTCCAAATAAAGGTTGCTTCTTGTCATGCTTCCCTTTTCAGGAATTAGCCTTCGATGGCATGCCCTCCTTTTGTCCCCCCTGCCATGAGCACCTTTGACCCCTGTTCCAGCTTTTTCCTTTCCCTTTTTCCCATCCCTTCTAAGATCTCCCCTTTTGCAAATTGGCGGTAAAACCCAAGCCCCATCCTTTTTACAAGTTTCAAACCTTCTCCTTTCCCCCACTTCTAAAGTGAAAAATATCATATTATAGCTGATTATAATGGCTTCAGTGTTACCAAAGAAACATTGTGCTCAAAATTTGACCGCGTATGCTACTTCCAGCAAAATAATATTGTGCTATTCTCAAAATTACATGTGCCAGAAAGACTGAAAATTGCAAATGTTTAGCCCTTTTGGTACTATGTGACTTTACCTTATCAAAAAAATCATTTGGTATCACTTGATATTTATGCCAAATAGCACTAGTTGACGAGGTTTTTAAAAAAGTTAGCTTAATTTTTTTTTTTGATTGGTCCTAGTTTCTTTCTTTTTCCAACACCAGTGTGAAGTATGACTAGTTTAACATTATATTATTCAATTTTTCTTCTTTTGATTTAAAGCACCATTTTTTCTCTGAGCGCAAATTAGCAATCATGTTAGTCTCTATTTCTTTGTTTGCGGGTTGGAAGAAGAAGATTCAGATGGGGCATTAGGTTATGTGAGAAAGGGGAGTCTAAATGAAGATTTGTTATTCTAGTCAGCTTCCTAACCTATTCAAAATTGCATGGAAAGTAAAGGAGAGTTTGTTTTGCTTCCTTTTTTATCACACCAGACAACAAAGCAAGATAAGTTCTTTACGAAATGAATGTACCAATTGTCCTCTAAGCTTTTTCATTCCCTTCCACCGCCTATTGTTAATGATGGTTGCATCTTCTGGTCAGTTAGAACAAACTTAACTTCATGTATTTCGTTGAAAACATTTCTTGATACTGACATTATAGTTGACTTGGGAAAATCATGCTGATGAGATTATAATTAGAGGTACTTAAGAATAGGTCGAGTTGACTCAACTGTTATGCATTAGAAAGGAAGATGAGTACAGAATGTCAAACTTTTAAAGCTAAAGAAATGCTAGTAAGCTATAGACTTGAAACAATGTATAGAGCTAAATATGCATAATTTTGAATAAGAATGTTAATGTGCCTTGATGAACCACCTTAATACTTCATTTGGACCTTATGATGCTAGAGCAAGAATGTAATATAATGAATTAAGCAGAGACGCAACCATCTTAATGAGATCAAATGTTATGGATGAAATATGAAATTTCGAGTGTGTACCATGTTAGCATGAAACTAAACTATCTTAACAAACAAGCAGTAACTAAAATATCTTAACAAAAAAGCAGTTACTGCTTTTAGTTGTCTATGTGGATATAGTGATGTTTCACAGTTTCTGCCGGTACTCTTCTAGAGTAAAGTAGCCACATCTAGATCCTTAAGGTGTTTAGAGTGCTAAAATAAATCATAATTTTGTGATGGGATCAAGTTTTATATTACTATATATTTTGCCTGGTAAATTGCCTTGGGCTAACTTCATTCTATAGCTAGTCTCTAGGAGAAGATGAAAGAGCGAATTAGCATAGAGTATGTCTGGAAGCCATGCTAGAAGATGTTCTTATGTTGTGGCAAGCATAGTTATTATACACTTGGAACATTCACAGGGGTTGTGCCTGGTTCTAGCCCCCCATAGCTCTAAAGTCTACTGTCGTTTTTAGGAGTGAAATGAGCTAAGCTTAGCCCAAGAGTAGCCAGGTGTAATTCAACTTGGTGCATCGAGAGTTGAGCTTCAGGTTGGCTTGTGTCCTTCTGAGCTTTGAGATGATCAAGTTTTGCTGAGCTCGAGACTGGTCAACGGGTTGGGTTAGCTTCCACAACAACGACAGAACTTTTACCAAATATATTGGAGTTTTCCCAACATCAAAGATATGATGGAGAGAGGGATTGATGTGTGTGTGGGTTTGGGGGGGGTGGGGGTGGGGGTTTGACACTACGAGAGGGAGAAGAGGCGGCCTGCTAGTATATGAGAAAAAAAAATTGTGGGAAGGACAAGCGGGCTCGGATTCGGCTCGAAGTTGGAAAGTCACAATTGGATTTGAGCCGGGACTGAGCCAAGCTTGAGCAGGTCGTGAGCATGCACCACTAATCTTATATAACATCAGGTCCACCATGTATCTTCTGGCATAATTGTCAAAAAGAAATAGTAACTGGGATAGTTCTTCTTTAGCAAAAATAGGTGGAGTTAGAAGTTCACCTGATAAATAAAAAAGTGGAGTTAGACCTTCATTAAACAGTACAATATATAACAACTTATAGTATTGTAAAGACAACATTCTGAAATTCCACAATGTTACGCGTATGAGCATTTTTATGACAACACCATTCCTTGCATCTGATCCTCTTCTTTTATTATCTGACTGGTCTAAGGATGAATGAATAAATGCTATAGAAGAATGCAAGTAAGAAGAAATTAGTGTAGCTGTTTAGGCACTCACACAGTGGAAGAAAGTATCTGTTTTTCTTGTTTCCAAATCTATTTCTGTTTTTATTTGGTCATCTTGGAAAATTCAATTTTATTAGCTGTGCTGGTGTTATCACATGTACATGATTTGTAACTGCTCAAATTCCCTCTCTTCCAGACTGTGGTTGGGCCGAAGACTCCGTTGCTGTCAATAACAGTAGCTGATGATGTATTGCAGTGTCAGCCAAGTGCCATGCAAATGTACTCCCTTTGTTTTCAACATGTTAAGATTTATATTCCTGGAGCAATTTGGTTTTACAGCAAAAAGTTTCAGCAGCTAAATAATTCTGTTCAATTATCTTATGCAGATTATGTTCCCTATCTTTTGTTTGAAATGTCCAAGCTAGTCAAATTCTGCATGTGATTAGCTAATAGTCCGATTCTGATTTCCCAAATTAGCAGCTTCGCCTGATGTCATACCATGGACCTCGAAAGATATTGATATCAATTTTAGTTGTGGCTTCAATTACTGTCATTGGTCAGATTCTATTGGACTTTTTATCACAATCATATTTATCGACACAATACTTCCCTGCCATGAGGGTGATTGTTCTTGACTCCCTATAATTAGACAGGACAGCATGGGAATATCAATTTCCAAAATCATTATACTTCCAAAATAGCAGGTCATATGCAATGAAAGTCTTCCAAATATATACTTAGCCAATTTCTCGTCCAAAACCTATCCAGCCTATCAAATACGAAGATAGGTAGATGAATGCTGGCTCCTTCTAACAGGAAAATTTTTATTTTGTGTCTCACACAACTGACACTAGTTGTATGAGGCCTCTTTTTTGTCTCACAACTGTGTGGTCCTAGAATTTTGTGGACCCAGATGTGTAAGATATGGGTCCACAAATATGTGAGATAAAAAGAGTCCTCACACAACTAATGTAAGTTGTGTGAGACACAATAAAACCACTTCCTTTAGGTGAATTTATGGTATATTTCTCCTGATGACACTAAGCTGGTCAATTATCCTAACTTGGAAGTTGGAAGCACACTTGGGTTGGAGTTCATTCTAACGCCTTCTTGAGTTGTATTTATGCCAACTGCTCTGTGATTCTTTTTCCATCACATTGTCTTCATTACCAACTCTAAATATAGGGGCGCTACAAGCAATTAGGCATTTTCTGCACCCTCTTGCTCGAAAAGTCTCCAAATTTTCGTTGAAAGTTGCTTTGCGAGACGTCTAATAGTTTCTGACTTGGTCCTTCAGATCGTAAGTCTCAACCCGTTCTCGGCTTGCCATTTTTGCCAGTTTGATCTTTCTACATGATTAAGTAGTACTCCAGATGAATAAGAGTTGGTTTTAAATAGAATACTTAATGGAGACGAAGTTCACAAGTTTTCCTTGGTCCAATTACTAGGAAAAGACTAGACAAACAAGAAAGAGAAGGTAAAGTGATGTACAAAAGCACAATGTTGGTGTTAAAGTTGGGTAAAGCTATGAGTGTGAACATGAACAGGAACAGGAACAAATAAGAAAGATGAGTGTTTTATTAGAAGGAATAATAGTACGGGGGAAATCATTTTCCCTTATCATTGTACGGCATGTCACGCATGCCTCAATCCAACAACCAGTAAAGTCGACGTCTTCTTTTTATATGGTTTCACATCTTAACCCAATTTGGAAATGAGGCAGCATTTTTGCTTTACCCTCAAGTAACCATCCCAAGACATGACTCTTTTCGTACCAATCCAACTACCAAATGTTTTCAAATGTACATTCTAGGGCTATATCATGTCTTTCCACAAATGGAGTGTGTTTTACCGAACCCATAGAACAACTGTTACCCATAGAAAAAAGGAGAGCCTCGTTAAATCATGGGTGTTCAATGAATTTATTTGTATGTTAACGTCTATTTGTCATATATATATATAGTGTTTGAGCTAAAAATAATGGGTGCTCGAGCAACCAGTAGCCTGAATGTAGGTTCGTCATTGTCCCTGCCAAAAAAAAAAAGTAAAAAAAAGAAGAAAGAAATGACCCTCCTCTCTATGTTTTTCGAAACCCACTATACTTTTTCAATGTACCAAAAAAGAAAAAGCAAGCCACTATCACCCTCATTTTTAATGATTGACATATTTGCCTGCCCACCTAGATCAAGCTGAAATTACTATTCTTTCCATGGTAGTAATTACTTTGTATTTCCTTCGCTTCTTGATCCCGTAACATATGAAGTTATACCCTTTTATACATTGCCGGAGCCAAGAATTCCAATTTTAAAAAATTAAAAAATGTAAAATGTCACACTCGAATTTCTATTTGCAACCTAAAATAATTTTCAGCCACCTTCACTTTGTCACCACACTAGCTAGAATATTTTCTTATAGTAATGGATTCAACACTTCAATATACACAAAGTAGAGTTGATTTTATCCTATTTACGCAATGCACTTTTAAAAGTTTGTCTTATCTTTTCTCATCATCATCTTCTGGATCTGTCAGTTCTGAGTGAGATGCAGTACTAATTTAATTTCGTCCGTTAGGCAGTGACTACAAGAGGTCATAGAAACCCTAAAAACGAAGCAAGGGTTAAACAGAGGAGGATAAATGCATGTCAGTGGCAGTGAATAATGGAGTTATAGCAGAGAAAAGTGAACTGCTACTGCATTTCCTTTATTGTCTTCAGATATCAAGACATATCAAACAACATTTAAGACTTTTTGTCTTTCTTTCTGTATTTTCGTCTCGCCCATCGTATAACCAACCCGAACTTAAGCCTAGTTGTTGTTATTTCTATTTATATAGTAATATTTTTAAAGTGGCATAGACACCTTGTTCCTAGCGGTGTGTTCCTAGCGGTGTCACGTGATACTGCTTCATCAATGAGTAATATGTATTTATATATAATAAACAACATAAAATATTGGGTATAAAATATAAAAAATTACTATATCGCTTGTCGTTACCGTAATTTAGGTGGTTTGGACATGTGAGGAGGAGGAACAAAGATGCCCTGGGGAGGAGGTGTGATAGGTTGACATTGGAGGGCCTACGGAGAGGTAGAGATAGGCGAGATAGGCCGAAGAAGAAGTGGGGAGAGGTGATTAGGCAAGACATGACATAGCTTCAGCTGACCGAGGCATGACCCTTGATAGGAAGGTGTGGAGGTCGAGGAATAGGGTAGTAGGGTAGGTGTTAGATTGTTCATACCAATAGGATTAGTACGCACTCTCGCATTCTGTTGGTAGGATGTTTCTATGAATACCCACCATTTTCTTTCATTTTAATCATCTTATTATCGTGTTGTTTCTATGCTACTTTTACATGGCTTTTTGGTGTTGTCCCTCATTGTCTATCTTTTTAATTAATGTGGTGTTTATGTTTTTCTGAGCCGAGGGTCTATTGGAAACATCCTCTCTACCTTCACAAGGTAGGGGTAAGGCCTGTGTACGCACTACCCTTCCCAGACCCCACGATATGGGATAATACTGGGTATGTTATTGTTGTTTACTTCTTCGAATATTGACACCACTTATGAAAATTCCTGCGTATATAAGTCATTGCTTAAAAGGAGCGATCGACGTGGATTTATAAAGACAAGCCCAACTTACAATTGAGGTATAATGATAGACTAATAGTGGTTCTTATTCTGCTTTGAGACTTTTCATTTACCAATAGATAGAAGAAGGAGCTTGGTAGGAAAGAGGCTGAAATGTATGAAGGGCAGTGGATGATCTTCTTAGGTACTCACTAAGAATAAAATTTAGGAATTCTTCATATGGATATATTGAAATTTGAAGCTGGTGTCTTTTAACTAATCATCGAAAGGGAAATATGCCTGACAACAATGTTTTCTGCAGTTAGAAATAGTAAATTTCCTTTTTCTGGACATGTTTCATGACTGTTGCATGGACAGCAAATTTACTACACATGCTTCCAATCAAGTGAATTTTTTTTAACCTACTGACATGCACAGGCATGATTCTTGTTACTACGATCAATCATCTATACTTACACTCTCCTCTTGTTTGAATTCATGGACATGAGAATGCAATATCAATATTTGGAAACAAGAGATTATATTATTTAATACCGTCAGGCGTCAACCTAAAAATAATACTTTACATAAGGTAGCGGACATAATGCCTTACCTTTGCAAAGATCGGAAGGAGGCAATATACTGACCCTATTAATTCAAATTTGCATCGCATAAATCCCATTTAGGGGGGAAAGCTCTCCCTACACGGAATTTCTTCACACGCTCGCGGAAATTCAAATTCGAGACCACTATTAAGGTTGGAGCAGCCCCATATATCTCACCATATTCTTGTTGAGCTAAAATGGTCCAAAGATATTCTTAACATGGTGTGATATTGTCCGCTTTAGGTTAAGTCCGCGTGCTTTTTCTCTAAAGGACTTACAGCATTAAGAGTATATAACTCCTTATAAATAGTTTCTTTTTTCTTCTACTTTCCCCGTGGGACCCACCTGATCTTGAGTATTTACAGTCACCGAAACCCAAAAGGTTGTGTATGTGTCTTCAAAGCTACGGGTAAAGATCGTAAACCCCGTAGACGAGCAAAGGCACTAAGCCGGCCCCCCACGCTACACTTTGCCATCTCCATAGTCTCGCCAAACTATAAGCTCTAATACTTGTTGTTGGGCTAAAATGACCACGATGTGATATTACCAGACTACTAGCTCAAATATCAGCTTTGGACGAAGCCCGTGCAGTTTTTCTCAAAAGGCCTAATATCATTAAGAGTATCCAACTTCTTATCAGTAACTTATTTTTCTTTTTTATTTTTCATGTGGGTGCAATTCTAAGGTGGCGAGCGAATACAAGAATTAAAAGTACTTATCAAGTCATATGCTCCTCTTTCACTTTATTATCCTTCGTCTTTAAACTCTGACCTTTCGTACCTTGCTATCTTCACCTTCACCACAAAAGACTTAAAGTGATTCATACCATCCTACACTATATATTCTTTTGCCTAATCCTCTTAATTAAATTCTTTATCTTTCACACACGCACATGGATATAAATAATGTGTAATTAGTTGTAGAGATAAATGTTAACAACTAAGGACGAATTTATGAGCGATCACATTGTTACCCACATAAGGATAGTTATTTGTTCAAATTGAAAGTGAATGTCAGTAGCAAGAACTGATAATTCTCCTTGCTATTCCAATTAAAAAAATAAAATCAGGTCAAAATCTTACTCCATTTTATTCCTCATAAACTTCCTTGCTTGCTGTCACATGGATCTGCTCTCCTTTCTCCATTGCATCACTTGAAGTTTTCAAATCAAACACACCCAACAATTTTTTTATAACATGCAATCACGCAAAATTTTCCTCAAAAACTTCTAGTAATAACATTGGCCAAATAAAAGTGTGTTTTCTCTAATAGTTTAAATTTTTAGATGAGATGATTGCATACTTCAACATTTCATCAACACAGATAAAGGTCTTGGGTTTGAGTCTCACTAACACTCGTGGTTAAAAAAAGAAAAAGAAATT